CTTTCTCTTTCTCTCCCTCACTCACTCGCATCTCCTCCCTCCCTCCCTCTCTCTCTCTCTCTCTCTCACATCCCCATAAGTCACGGGAAGACGTGTGTGGTGGGGAGAGGGAGAGGGTAGAGAGGGGGAGAGGGGGTAGAGGGAGAGAAGGAGAAGGAGGAGGAGGGGAAGGAGGAGGAGGGGGGGAGGGGGGAGTCCCGAATAAGGGTTGTAGGCAATTTCGTGTGTGGCTGGGGATGGAGGCAGCATCTCCGCGAACCTCGGGCGAAACACAGGTAGAGAAAAGAAAGAGAGGAAGACGGCGATAATCTACGGGTGTGAATGTTATTGGCAATAAATATGGAATAGACGAATGGGCGAATGGGGGGAGGGGGGAGGAGGGAGGAAGGAGGGGGGGGAGGGGGGAGGGATGATGACGGGTTGTGCAGATATGTATTTTTTTCTTTCGTTCTCTCTCTCTCTCTCTCTCTTTTTTTTCCCCTTTCTTCCTTTTTTGATTATTATTGTTATTATTGGTTGTGAAGGCGTTACCCGTTTTGTTTCGTCTTCGGAAATGGGCGCGTAAATAGGTTGTAACTCAGGACGAGGGCTGTTATTAGCGGGGGTGGGGGTGGGGGTGGGGGGGAGGGATAAAAGGTTCTCTCTTTCTCTTCCTTCCTTTCTTTTATCTCTCTTTCTTTCTTCTCTATCGCATTCTTTATTTCTTTTATCTCGCTCTCTCTCTCCTTTCTTTTCTCTCTTTTTTTTCTCTTCTCTCTTCTCTCCTCTTCCCCCTTTCTTTCTTTTTTCCTCTTCCTTTCCCTCCCTCCTTCCCTCCCCCCTCCCCCCCTGTCACCGCTGGCACCTTTAACTTCATTAGGAAAATTTTAATTCCCCGAAGTCAGTCTTGTCGCCACATTCATCAGCGTAGTCTCTTCCTTAACAATGCCTCTGTGTTATTCTCTTCCTCTTTTCTTCCTTCTTTCCTCCTTTCCTCCTTCTCATGTTCTGTGTTTTATTCTCCTCCCCCTCCCTTCCCCCTTTGTCTTCCTCTTTTCCTATTTTTTTTGTATCCTGCTTCTCCTTCTCGCCCCCCCCCCCCCACTGACTGTATCTCCCCCACCCTACTCCCTCCCCCCTCTTTCCTCTTCACATTTCCCCACCCCCACTTTTCGCTTTTCCCCTCCCCCTTCCCCCCACCTTTTAGATTCCCCCCCCCCTTCCAGACATCCTTCCATCCCCTACACCTCCCCCCCCCCATGCATGACAAGGTCTCCTGTCAACCGTCACAACTAAGGATTAAGCTGCTTACTGTCACAAGTCACCTCACAACCGTCGTTAAGTCCTGTCACATGTCACAACCGGAGGGGGGGGGAGGGGATTGGCCGGTCACACGTCATGTCACAACCCTGGTTAATTTGGGCGTCACGCTTTTACAACCTGGGCTGTGGTGGGCGGCCTGTCGCAGGGGGGGTATGGGGGGGGGGCGAAAAGGATCTCTTCATTTTTATATAGAGGCTGTGGGTCTGTCTGTTCTGTTTGTCTGTGTTTTTTTTTCTGTCTACTTTTTTGTCTGTCTGTCTGTTTCGGGTATTCTGTCTCCTGTGCTCTCTCTCTCTCTCTCTTTTCTTCTTGTACGTTTTCTTCTTTCTTCTTCTCCTTCTCTTCTCTTCTCTTCTCTTCTCTTCCTTTCCCCAGTTGGAGTTCTATTTCCTCTCCTTTCCCCTCCTACTCTCACTCCCCCTTCTCCCCTCCCACTGTCCACCCCCCTCTCCCACTCCTCCCCTACCCCTCCCACTGTCCACACCCCTCTCCCACTCCCCTTCCCCCTCCCACTGTCCACCCCCCTCTCCCACTCCCCTTCCCCCTCCCACTGTCCACCCCCTTTCCAACTCCCTCCTCTACCCTACCCCCTACCTCCTCCCCCCACCCCCACCCCCACCCAGGCGACTATCCAAAAAGGTAACTGTTAACAAAGCGACTTATTAGAGCGCGACCACACTCTACACACCTTTTTCTCCCGTTTCCCTGTAGTTACCCTGCCGTTGACAGCTTGTTAAATACCCTTCTGTGACTGTTTGTGTTTTAAGGGGCGACGGTAATAATAATGATAATAATAATTGAAAAAAAAAAATGTCTTGTCTTGGCTTTGACCGTCTGTCTGTCTGTCGTAAGGGTTGAAAAGGGTGGGGAGGGAAGGAGGGAGGGAGGGAGGGAAGAGGGAGGTGGGAGGGAAGTGGATGTGACCAGATTTTATTTACGATTTGAGGAAGAGGTGGGGGTAGAGGGAAGGAAGGAAGGGGGGGAGGGGGAGTAATAAGGAAAAGGGCAATAGATGGATAATTTCAAGTACGTTTGTTTTAATCCCCCCCCCCATAATTAAATTTATCGCGGGCGGCTTATCATCAGAGAAGAGCAAAGATTTAAAAAAAAGTAAATGTCTAGCTGGCTTTTCTTTTTTATCGCGAATTGGCTTGATCAGTCGCGCGAATTGGGAAAGGAAAGAGAAAAGAAGGGAGAGGGAAGGGGAAAGTGGGGAAGGAAAAGGAAAAGTAAAGGATGGACAAGGAAATAGAGGAGGAGGATAAGAAGGAAAAGAAAATATATATCTTAAAAGATTCTTATCTCGAAATCTTATGAATGTAAACGCGTCTTATCAGTTATATAGAAATTTCATTCGGTATATTTTGCCTTTAGAAATCACACATCCTGTCTAAGTCAATGAATAGATTTGCCTATATTTACCTTTCCTTTTGGTCCTTGTTATTATCAATGTTGCTGTTGCCGCTACTAATGCAAGTACTTTCACTTCTACCGTTTATTAAATTTTCGCTATTCACTCTTTCTCCTTTTTCGTCTTCCTCTTCCTTGCGTGAAAGGTCGGCGGCAAAATGCAGTCATTAAAAGCATTCGATTCTGTGTAATTAGAGTAATGGCAATTAACAAGTGCTCATTACGATAAAGATACATGTAGGCGTGTGTATGTACGTACATACTTGCATACATACATGTTGTACTCTGATAGTATGCATATGTAATTACGAGCGAGAGAGAGATAAAATAAAAGAAATATATATGTATTTATATATATATATATATTGTAATAATTTTTATTCTTAGAAGTCAGGAATATTTTCTTATAAATACCCCGCCCCCCCTCCAGACGAATAAAAAACGAAGAAAGCAGAATTATAATAAAGTTTTTTTTGGGGGGTGGGGGGTGTGTAGGGGTGGGTGGTGTGGGGATGGGGGGATGGGATAAATAGGCGAAAGAAAGGAGAGAAGCGATGAAGCAGGGAGATACGAATAGAAGAGGCCATAGAAAAGTGCGAGGAGAGGAGAGAGCGACACCTGATTACGGCGTTGGATTACGGCGAAGGAGCGATAGGGGTGGGGGGTGGGGGAGGGAGGGAGATGGGGGTGGGGGGGAGGAAGAAGGTGGAGGGAGGGAAGGTGTGGGTGGATTAGAAAAATAATAATGATAGCAATAATAATAATAATAATGATAATAATAATAATAATAGTAATAATAAATAATAATAATAATAGTTGTGATAATAATAATGATAATGAAGAAAGAGAAGAAAATATATAAAGAGAGAGAGTAGGAGGAAGAGCAAGACGAAGACTAGGAAGAGGAAAGGAAGAAGGAGAAGGTGGAGGGGGGGGGAGGGAGAGAAGAAGCGCCTGGGGGGAGAAATCTCTGCTTTTTAATGAGGATGTTCTTAGGAAGGGGGGGGGATGTGAGGGGGAGGGGGGAGGAGGGGAGGCAGTTGAGGTGCTTCAGCGGAAAGTGATCCTGGGGGAGGGGAGGGGGAGGGGGGAGGAGGAGGAGGAAAGGAAGGATTGACGTCATTTTTTTCGCCATTATCATCATCGTCATTGTCATTATCACCTTCCTGAAGTCTTACGATTGTTTTTATATGTATATTTATTTTTATCTTTAATTTTCTTTCTGTTGTGTACTTATGTATTGCATGTTGTACGGTGGAATAGTATCTCTTTGTTTCTTTATTCCCTGATTTAGTTTTGTCTCTCTCTCTCTCTCTCTCTCTCTCTCTCTCTCTCTCTCTCTCTCTCTCTCTCTCTCTCTCTCTCTCTCTCTCTCTCTCTCTCTCTCTCTCTCTCTCTCTCTCTCTCTCTCTCTCTCTCTCTCTCTTATAGTTATTATGTTTTTTTGCATGTTAGTGTATTAATGTTATGTATTTATGTGTCTTTATCTTTTTTCCCTAAATTCATATATATTTCATTAAATGTTGAATATGCGTTGAGTTGTGATATTTCCCTTGAACACCTGTTTTGCATACCAACTTGTCTTTTTGATGATGATAATAAAACGAATTATAGATGTGACAAACTAAATGTCTTAATTCTCTGTCTTATGTTTTTGTTTGAAGGATCTGAATGCATTTGCATAAAATGGTTGTGTAATATTTTTTTTTTTTTTTTTTTTTTTCTTTTTTTTAAGATGTCAGGTCCTTAGTATTATGTTACTGATATTTTTTTTGAATTTATAACTGATGGGTGTTTTGGGAATATATATATATTTTTTTAAATTTTATAACCAATGATTTATTTTAGGCTTTTGTTTGATGTTCATAATGTTTTCGATATTAAAGCCGATATTAAAAAAAAAGTTTTGAAATCACGCCATATTTCTGAATTCAGTATATTTCATATTTGAAATTTGAATATTTTTGAACATTTTAAAAACTCTTTCCAATTTTTAACCAAAATCTTAACCAGCATTTAAAAAGAATATATATAAAAAAGTGTAAATACTAAGCAACACTTTAAAAACCTTAATAAAGAAATATATTACCCAATTAAAAAAAATAGTAATAATTATAATAATATTTTTTAAAGTCGAAATAAGACCCAACGATCTAAACCAACATTCTCAACATTTAACACCCCCCCCTCAAAAAAAAAAAAAAAAAAAAAAAAAAAAAAAAAAAAAAAAACACTTTTCAAACGACCGCCAACTAACCAATTCTCTCTTCTCTCTTTCTCCTTTCCAGGCATCCTCTGTTCCCGCTCCTTGCTCTCATCTTCGAGAAATGCGAACTGGCCACATGCACGCCGAGGGAGCCAGGTGTCGCGGGCGGGGACGTCTGTTCATCGGAATCCTTCAACGAAGATATTGCCGTCTTTTCGAAGCAGGTGCGACAGGTTCTTTGCGTCGAGGAAGAAGAAGAAAAGGAGGAGGTGGTTGGAGGAGGAGGTGGTTGGTTTGGAGGAGGACTGTGGAGGGGGACGATCAGAAATGCGTTTTTTTTTTTTCTTGGGCTTTTTCTTTCTTTCTTCGTCTTTCTTTCTCTTTTTTCTCCTATCTCTTTTTTCTCCCCCTCTCTCTCTCTCTCTCTCTCTCTCTCTCTCTCTCTCTCTCTCTCTCTCTCTCTCTCTCTCTCTCTCTCTCTCTCTCTCTCATTTTATTTCGTTTCTTTTAATCTGTTCCTTATTTCTTTATCTTTAATCAATTTATTTTGAATCATTCTTCGCGTCTTCCACGTCATTTTCCGATTTTCATCTCTTTTCTTCTCCGTCTTTCCTCTCTCTATCTTTCGTTATATTTTTATTTTATTTTTCTCCGTCCTTCCCCCACGTCCTCCTCTCCTCCTCCCTCCTCCCCCGCCTTCGCCTCCCCTCCCCTCGCCCGCACGCCCACTCCCCTGAATGGGCGGGCGGCGGCGTAGGGGCGTGGGCGGCGACGGAGGTCAAACAGGAGCTTCGTCACGTCACAAGATGCAACTGGAATCATTATTGATTTGATTATTTTTTTTATAAATGTCTTTATTTTTTTTCATAAGAATTATTTTTCAATGGGTGGGATATATATTTTTTTTCAATAGGGGAGTGTCTTTCTTAAAAGTTGAATGAGAAATGAAGTTGTACATAAAGAGATTGAAAAAAAAAATATATATATATATATGCATAGATACGAATGCAAATGATACTGTGATGTTATTGCCAATTATTATATAGATATTTTTAAAAAAGATGTGCAGCAATTTTTTAGTAAAGAAAATAAAAATATTAAAAGAAAAACAAACGGAAGCAGAATTTCGGTTCTGCCAAATACGTTTTCGTAAATTGAGAAAAAGAAGAAGAGAGAGAGAGAAAAAAATGGGGGAAAAGAAAGAGAATTAATGAAAATAGGAAAAAAAGAAAACTAATAAATATATAAGAAAAAAAACCTCGGTGTAAACAAGGGTTAGTGTAAACAGCCGGAAACCGAAAAGTGGAAAACTGTGTTCGTGTAAAGTTGAAGATCAAAAGGAAGATTTTGAGAACAACGCCAAGACGACATTGAAGACAACGACGACAAGAAAGAAGAAGAAGAAGAAGAGGAGGAGGAGGAAGAAGAAGAGGGGAGGAAGGAAGGAAAGATAATGGGGGACTGAGAAGAAGGGGGAGGACAAAGAAGAAGAAGAAGAAGAAGGAAGAACAGGAGGAGGAGGAGGACAAAGCTTCTTCCCTCCTCCTCCTCCTCCTCTTTCTTCCCTGTTCCTCCCCCTAACCCCCCCCCTTACACTCTTCCCTCCCCTCCCCCCTCCCCCCCCGCAAAGGACCCTCCACCCGCTTCACCTACAGAGCAGAATCGGATAAGTACCAATGATAATAACCGGATTAATGTTTAGCCAAAGCGGTATTTACTTTGATGTTCGACTGTCGGGTATAAGGGAATAGATAGGGGGGGAGGGAGGGGGAGGGAAGGGTCAAAGGGGAATGGAAGAGAGGGAGGGAGGGAGGGAGGGAGGGAGGGAGGGAGAGAGGGTCAAGGCGAAGGGAAGGAGGGAGGGAGGGAGGGAGGGAGAGGGAGGGAGGGAGAGGGAGGGAGGGAGAGGGAGGGGAGGGAGAGGGAGGGGAGAGGGAGAGAGGGGGGGGAGGAAAGGAGATAGATACAAGGGGGAGAAAGCTTGTCCACTTGTTTATGCCGGTGACAAAAGAGTTAGTGGAGATTAAGCGTGATTGGGACGATTAGCGAAGGAAAGGAAAGGGGAAAAGGGGAAAGGGGAGGGGAGGAGGGAGGGGGGTGGGGGGGAGGTAGGTCTTGCGAAGGGGGGATTCCAGCCTCGCGGACGAGATGAAACTTCATTATCTCCTGTCGAGCGCGGATTTGACTTACAAGAGGTGGATTATATGTGTACATTTAGCGAGAGAGAGAGAGAGAGAGAGAGAGAGAGAGAGAGAGAGAGAGAGAGAGAGAGAGAGAGAGAGAGATTGTTTAAAAAGCGTGTGTATATTTTGTAAATATATACAACATTTATAATTTCATTTAATTTTTTTTTTATAAGAAATCGACGAATTGAAAAATGTGTATTTCTTTACATAATTGTTTAACTATTCTTACTCTTGATACGGATACCATGCTTATCATTACTTTGAGTATTGAAAATGCCATAAAAATCACTAATAGACTTATTGAAGCAAAATTAGACATAGATATATAAATAGATAGATATATATATTGAATGTCCATAAATGCAATATGTGTGTGCGTGTGAGTGAATGCACGTCTGTATTTAATGATAATGATTTCAGAAGCCAGTAATGTAGCTCGTAACAGTTATTCCATCAAACACACCCGGAAAAAAAAGATATATCATTGACAGTTTGGACGATAATGAACAAGAGTGTTGCAATAACACCCGGGGTAAAAAAAAAATGACGCATTTAATACCGATTTTTAGTGACACCGCCAAAAATATGTCAATAAAAATTAATAGCAACGTGATTAAAAAGGAGAGAGAGAGAGAGAGAAGAAAAAAAGGTAGTAGGGTTATTAGACAGTGTGTAAACTCTCGATTTTTATTTTTTTATCTTTTTTTTTTTAGTAAATTAGTATGATTAGCGAGAATTTAGGAAACTCTTTCATGTCATCTGGAGATTATCTGGGTATTTTTGGGCGATCGGCGAATCTGCTGAGTCATGATGCGAGGGGATATTGCGTAGTGTGTGTGTGTGTGTGTGTGTGTGTGTGTGTGTGTGTGTGTGTGTGTGTGTGTATGTGTGTGTGTGTGTGTGTATGTGTGTGTGTGTGTGTGTGTGTGTGTGTGTGTGTGTGTGTGTGTGTGTGTGTGTGAGAGAGAGAGAGAGAGAGAGAGAGAGAGAGAGAGAGAGAGAGAGAGAGAGAGAGAATATATATGTATATGTCTTTATGTATGTATATGTATATGTGTGCGTGCTTGTGTACTGGAAAGGGTTAAGAGTGACCGCGTGCGAATGGTCAAAGAAGGGGGAGGGGAGGGGGGGGTGAAGAGGGAGAGGGAGAGAGAGAGAGAGAGAGAGAATATGGTGTTAATTTCATGATGTTTCCGTGTAAACAGATAGTGAGGTCAGATTCTGTGTTCAGATCCTCATGTCAGCGTGCGTGCGTGCGTGCGTGCGTGTGTGTGCGTGTGTGCGTGTGTGCGTGTGTGTGTGTGTGTGTGTGTGTGTGTGTGTGTTTGCGTGTGTGTGTGTGTTTGCGCGTACATGTGTGGGTGTGTGCGTACTTTGTGCCTCCGTTCGTGCGTATGACTTTATCTTCTTCTTCGTTAACACGTATATAAAAAAAAGTTTTACATACTGTTCATTGTTTGAATTTGATTTATGTTTGAGTAAGAATAGACATACATTTGTTTCGAAGGCTTTGCTCTCGCTAAAGTGTGAAGCCGTGCATGCATGTGCGTTGGTTGATCGATTATAATCCATGTAAAGATTCCAATAGATCTACTTATGTACGTTTTCTGAGCCCGAGCGGTCCTGTGTGCGGCCCGGACCCCCCGTCGGGTTTGACAAGCGATACACAAGAGGGCAGATTAATCCAATTTAAAACCGACGAACTTTTCCGCAACCTTCGCTCAGATCGGCTTCCCCTCTCCCCCCCTTCCACCTCCCTCTTTTTCGCCCTACCTCCTCGCACGCTCCATTACGATCCGCGGCCGAAGATCAGTGGAATCGTCGGGAGTTAATGAGTTTAGCGGGCCACGGCGGGTCGGGTGATGGGTCAGGTCAGCGCGAGGGCGGGGCGGAGGTCAGGCCAGGTCGCCTCTGGCCCCGGGTAAGGTCCGGGGGAGGGTGTGAGGGGGGAGGGGCACCCGCCGGGTATGTCAACGGGTGCTAAACACAGGGCGGCGGACGAGGGCACGGGCGCCGCTAAACGTTTATGGATTTGTGTGTGTATATATATATATATATATATATATATATATATATATATAGAGAGAGAGAGAGAGAGAGAGAGAGAGAGAGAGAGAGAGAGAGAATTATGAATTTTTGTATATAAAAAGTATACATGATATTTAAGCATGGTATAACCGCCCCCCCCCCCCCCCCCCGCGCACCAGTCCCGGCCCAAAATGCCCCAAATTATAATTCCTGCTCATGTTGGGAATCAGGCCATAAAAACAGTTTATGTTCCGGCGCCTGAACGGTTATGGCGGCCATCGATAGTTCGGCCCGGAAATAAAATTCCAGGTAATGCGGACTTGGGAGTGACGACAAATAAACTACAAATTATGTCAGTCGCGATAGAGATCGGCCATGCATATTTAATGGGGATTTTAATCGCGCGAGCCATGTTAGCGGCTTTTGGGTCGCGCTCCGCCTCCCCGCCGCCGCCGCCGCCGCCGCGCGCTGACTTTTCCTGACTTTTTCTGACTTTTTCTGACTCTTCCTGACACTTCCTAAATTTTCCAGACTCTTCCTGACTCTTCCTGACTCTTCCTGACTCTTCCTGACTCGTCCTGACTCTTCCTGACTTTCCCTGACTCTTTCTGACTCTTCCTAAATTTTCCTGACTCGTCCTGACTCTTCTTGACTCTTCCTGACTCTTCCTGACTCTTCCTAAATTTTTCTGACTCTTCCTGACTCTTCCTGACTCTTCCTGACTTCGCTGACTTCGTTGGCTTCGCTGACTTTCCTGACTTCCTCAATCTTTGGCGGAAGTTACGGAAAAAGACACATATTTATGACTTGAGAAATGTATCAGAAAGTATAGTTACTTTATCCGAAAGTATATTTATTGTCAAAGGATATACGGGTAACTTTTAGAGTAATAAAGGTATATTTTTATAAGGAGATTTGCTGCTGGTATAACAATTAGGTTAGGAGAAGTCTATAAAGATACGTAAAAGCAGGATTTTGCGTCTGTTATAAGGGCTAAACTTTACACTAAAAAGATATATATGGATAAGGGTTATATATAGAAGAATATGGGTTATAACGGTTAACTTTCAGGAACTTTCAGGAACTTTCAGCGGAATTCAAAGCCGTAAATTGATTATATTTTACCATGCATCGCCACGCCACCGCCGCTACCGTCGTTTTGAAGCGGAAAGGAAATAGAGGGAAAACGCGATAAAAGAGAGAGAGAGAGGGAGTGAAAGGGAGAGAGGAGGAAAGAAACGAAATAATGAAGAAAAGAGTTTATAAGATATTTTTTTTTGTTTTTGTTTTCGTTTTTCTTTACTTCTATTTTTTTAAAGGAATTACGTGAAAAAAGGGGAAAGAAAATCGCCTTCCCAAGATTTTCACTACTGTCGTGTTTACTCTCGTGACGTCATCAGCTTCTACGATTTTTTCCCCCCTCCCCCTTTCCTCTCTCTTTTTTTTTCCCCCTCCTCGTGTCACTATCAGGACTGGTCGTATGTCAAGCCCGATGGTGGTGCCGCTGCCATATTTCCCCGGCGGTTAAAAGCACCGTAAGTATACACACACACGCGTGGCTCCGAGAGATATTTTCTGCCTGTGTGTGGGTATGGGGGGCCCGCGTCGGAGGCGTTTCGCGGCCGCTTTTGCTTCTAAATGTGTGTATATATGTGTGTGTGTGTGTGTGCGTGTGTGTATATATATATAGACACACACAGATATATATACATATTTATATATATGCATGTGTATAAATATATTTGTTAAAGTATATTCATATATATATATATATATATATATATATATATATATATATATATATATATATATATATATACATAATATATATATATATATATATATATATATATATATATATACATAATATATATATATATATATATATATATATATATACATAATATATATATATATATATATATATATATATATATATACATAATATATATATATATATATATATATATATATATATATATATATTATATTTGTCTTTATATTTATATATAAACACACTCCTAATATACAAATGCCCGCCCTCGGCCCGAAGGGAGCCCGGCACCGAGGCGCGGCGCCCGTGACAGGAGCCGCCGACCCGCCCGCGGAACCCGACGGTTAATTACCTTATTAGATCCGATTCGCGCCGCTTTATTCTCGAAACCCAAGTCCTTCTTCCCCTTTTTTCGCATTCCGGTTCTTCCTTTCCATCAGCCGAAAATTTCCCTTGTCCGAGGCGGCGGCGGTACGGAATCCGAAGTCGGCGCCGCAAAGTGTTCGATTTCCCGCGTAATTTCATCCAAGATGGCGGTGGGTGTCCCGTCCTGCGTCGCTCGAGCGGAGGCCTTCGATGGGCGGCTTCTTAATCGGGGTGGCTTTGATTTCCTCTCTTTATTTATTTATTTGAGGGGGGAGGGGGTGTTTATGGCGGTTAACTCGATCCGTGATTCTTTATTGTCTATGTTTTTTTTTTGAAGTTCGTGTTCAATACGGTCGGAGAGTTTTTGAAAACGTAACGTGGGATTTTTTTTTGGAAAACGTAACATGTGATTATATTTTACTTGACTTCTTTGATATATATTTTTATTTCCTAAATAAATGGGTGGGTGTTACTGACATCGTTAACTCTTTACCTCTCTCCTCCCTCTTTCTCCACCGCACGAAATGAGGTGACGGAGAGGGAGGGGGAGAAAAAGAGGAGGAGGAGAAGAGGGAGAGAAAGAGGAGGAGAAGGAGGAGGAGGAGGAGGGGGAGGAGGAGAAAATGCGGTTAAAAAGGGGAACTAGGGGAGGAGGTCAAAGTGGGCGTTACCTGCGGTATCATAACGTTTAGGAGGTGTGACCTAGGCGGGCGTTGGGTCACCTGGACGCCTCAGACGGTTGGGCCGAATGCGCTCAGCTGACCTCGGCGTCTCTCTGTTTCTGTTTATTTCTCTGTTTGTCTCTCTCTCCTCTTCTCTCCTTTTCCTTTTCATCTTCTATCTCATCCCCTTCCTTTCCCTCATCCCTCCCTCTCACTTCCCCTCTCCCTCTCCCTCCACCTTTCTACCTCTCTCTCTCCCTTCACCTCTCTCCCTTCCCTCACCTCTCTCCCTCTCTCCTCCCTCCCTCTCTCCCTCCCTCCCTCCCTCCCTCCCTCCCTCCCTCCCTCCCTCTCTCCCTTCACCTCTCTCCCTCTCCCTCTTTCCCTCTCTCTCCCTCTCCCTCTCTCGTTCCCTTAACCGATGTGCGGATAACAGTCCCGATATCCGATGGGCGCCAATGATTGCGATGCCGTAGCGTCCTTGTTTATCGTCCGGCGGTTTCATGTGATGTAGAGGGCGCTTTGGTGTGTGTGTCTGTTTGTCTGTCTGTGATAATATATGTCTG